GTACAACGTGGCGCCGGCCTCCGCCTCGTGCTTAAAAGGCACGACACCCGCCAGAGCCATCGCCGCCGCGTGGGAGACCGTGCGGTACCCCCTCACGACCCTGATGGCCATCGTCCTCTCTACCCGCCGCAGCACAGCTTGACTGCGACGGGACGCCATCAGGGCCTGGGCCCATATCGGCGACCCATAAAGGGCCATACTCCGCACGATCCCCGTGTAGAGGCGGCGAATCTTCTCGCTAGGCCCCCCGATGTTGGGCAATATCTGCCCGAGCGCGTTTGTTGCCCTTTCCAATCGGGGGGCCAGACGGTCGAAATGATCCTCGAAGCACCAGTGGCTGTCCAGGTGGAGGCCCAAGTACTTGAAGCCCTTGCCCACCTGGACTCTTGTGTCACCTACCCGGATCCAAGACTGGGGCGGTGGCGCGACCCCACGCCGAGGCGAGTAATGCCACATCGCCTCGGTTTTGTGGGGTGCTAACTGAAGCCCCAGCCTCCGGATGGTCGCTGCGACGGCAGCCACACCTATCTCCATAAGACGACTGGTCCTGCTCCAGTCCCGATCGGTGGCAAAGATGTGGGTGTCGTCACAGTAACACCGCACACTTACCCCGTCCGGGACGGCGACCCACAGAGTCTTGTTGTACCCCAGGATCCACAGCGGCGGTCCCAAACGGGACCCCTGGGGTACACCCCTCTCGACGCCCCTCGTGTATATGCGTTCGTCCCGGCCCACATACATAATGTACCTATCCCATAGGTAGTGCCCTATGATCCTCGTCAGGTATGGGGGCGCTTCGTGATCGTTTAGCGCCCCCATTATCGTCCCGTGGGGCAGGGTGTTAAAGGCGTTCACTATGTCTAGTGAAACGCCCATCCCCACCCCGCCCCTGGACGTGGCCGAGTCGCAACAGGAGCGCAGCGAGTGAATTGCATCGATGGTGCTGCGCCCCTGTCTAAAGCCAAACTGCGACTCGGCCAGATCAGGGCCCACCAGGGATAGGTGCCGGGCGAGGCGGTCAGCTATCACCGCTTCGAACAGCTTCCCGACCTCGTCCAGCAAAACAATGGGCCGGTACGCAGAGGGGCTCTCTGCGGGCCGTCCTTCCTTCTTCAGCAGGACCAGTCGTCCCACCTTCCACTCCCTAGGGAATGTCCCCTCCTTCAGACAGGCGCTGAAGAGGCGCCTCAATCGCGGTCCAAGGACGCGCAGGGCCAATACCCAGGCTCGGCCGGGGATGCCGTCTGGGCCCGGAGCGGTGTTCCGGGCCGCCATACGTTTGATTGCCCCGGCCAGCTCCTCCTCCGTGACCCCCATTTCGTCGGTCCATTCGACTTGGACCGGCGCGGGGCAGGGGTGGTCGCCCTCGTCACGAGGGAATAACGTGTCCACCACCTGCCCCAGGAACTGGGGATCGAGGCTCTCCGTCACGGGCGGCGCCCTGGGCCTTAGTTTACTCATGGCCCATCTGTAAGGGCGCCCCCACGGATCCTTCTCCAGAGAGCCGAGGAGCTCTTGCCACGCCCGGGATTTGGCCTCTCTGATGGCCTGCTGCAGGGTTACCACTAGCACCCTGTAGCACCCGTACAGCGTTTCCTCCCTCGCTGGGTCGCGGTTCCTTCTCCGACGGGCTCTTTGCCACTGGCGTCGGGCGACGTTACAGTTACACCAGATGTCGGCGATTTCGCCCGACCACCAATAGGCGGCCCGTCTGGGGAGGCATTTGGCCCGGGGCATAGCAACATCGCATATTGCTTTCATCGTGCCCCGGAACCACTCCACTTCCTCCCCGATATCCGCGACCGGCCCGGCCGGTTGCTCCGGCCAGGTCACAGCGAGGGCTGCGGCCATCAGCGCGTCCCTATCCAGCCTCTTCAGCGCCCATCTCAGCGGTGGCAGGCCACTCGCCGGGCGGCGGTTGGTGGTGGAGTGAAATTCGAGGCGGATGTATCTGTGGTCGCTGAGCGACTCCGCCTCCTCCATCACCCTCCAACTCTGCACCATACGCACCGCCGAGGGAGTCGCGAAAGAGAGATCGACTATCGACTCCCCCTGTGCACGTACGCAGGTGCTAACAGAGCCCCGGTTCAGCAACCGGAGCTCATTTTCCGCCGCCCAGTCGAGCACCGCCTCACCCCTCGCGTCTGTCCTCGGGGACCCCCACGATTTTGCGTGGGAGTTAAAATCCCCGAGAACGAGTGCCGGCCGGGGGTAGCAACGGGAGATCACATCTCCCACCCGGCCTAGGCACTCTTCGAATGACGCGAGGGATAGGCTGGGCGGACAATACATGCCCACCACCGCTATTTCTCCCCACTGCACCGCTACGTAGCCCCGCCCCCGTTCCATTAGTGTTGGGGGCGGGGAAAACGCGGTGCCAATCACGGCCACGGAGCCGACCTCGTCCCCGAACCAGTCGTGTCTATCGGGGACCCTGTACGGCTCCGCGGCCACCGCCAATCCTACTTTCCACTCAGCCAGGTGGTGCAATAATAGGTCTTGCGCCCTGGCCGAGTGGTTCAGATTACTCTGAAGTATGGGCCCTTTGGGCCCCATTACTTTTTAGAGGCTGCCGCCTCCGCGGCTTTACCTCTCCTTGGGGTGGCAGATCTGCCACCCCTCCTCTTCTTTGGCGCAGCAGCCTCAGCTGGCTGCTGCTGCGCCTGTTGGGGGGGTGCTACTTCCCCCTGCTTGGCGCCCTTCTTCTTCTGCCTCTGGGATTTGGGGGCACACGACTTTGCCCCCAACCGGTGCCCCGCGGGTCGCCCCAGATCTGTGCATAGGGGGCACCGCGGTGTGGCGCTGCACGAGCTGGCCTTATGGCCCGACTCGCCGCAAACGTAGCAGCGGTCGGACCTGTCCACCTCGCAGGTGCATCGCTGCCTCACGTGGCCTTTCTCGAGGCAGCGGAAGCACTGCAAAGGCCTTGCTGGCAGCGCCTCGACCCTGGCTGACGACCAGCCAACCAGGATCCTCCCAGAGGCGACGATCTTGCCGAGCGCCGTCAGGGGGCACCTCGCCCAGACTGTACCCAGCCTGGCCGGGGAGATCCCAATTTCCCCGACCTTCACTTCTGCTGGGGTACAGCCTCCAACAGCCGCAAGGGCGGCTGTAACATCCGCAGGGGACACCGAGTCATCCAAACCGGATACTCGTACCTCGCCCATTTTGACTGGGCGAGATACCCGGACCTCGGTGCCCCGAAACACCCCCTGGAGGCAACCCTCCAACGCGGTCGCCTTATCCGTCCGCCCCTCTCCTGGAATCTCCAGGACCAGGCCGCCTGTTACCGCCCGCCGTGGTCGAATCTCGGTTATACCGATGGTCTTCAGATCGACCTTTTCGCGGGCGGTGGCCATCACCTCTGCATACGTGACCTTGGCATCTGGTGCCAAGGTCAGGGTGACGGCCGCTGTCTTCGGCGGCCTGGCAGGCTTCGCCTTTTTCGCGGCGGGGGCAGGCGCTTTCTTGGGGGGCGCCTTAGTTCCCTGTTGCCCCCTCTTCGCCGCTGGTCCGCCGGTTGTTGGTGGTGGCCCCTCCTGTTTTTGGGACCTCTTCGCCTTGCGGCCCACCACCGTTGCCCATGTTTCCCCCTGGGCGGCGAGGCGGGTCTCTTTCTGGATGCCCCGCATCCTCGCCTCCAGAGGCGACTCCTTTGTTCCAGCCTGGGGTGTGGCCTTCACCTGCCGCTCACCCCCAGGCTTGGGCTTCGGGGCGGTCTTAGCCCCTCCAGCCCTCTCCTCCTTCTTTGGGGGCGGGTTCTCCCTACCTTTGGCCGAGAGGACCCCCATGAATTCCTCCCTGAGAGAGGAGACCTGTTGCATCAGGGCGGCTATGCACACCCTTATGTCCCCTCCCTCAGGGTCTACCTTCTCCACCCGTCTAATCTTGGGCACGCTCTTGATTGGGGCGGGTGGTTCCATCTCCATCCACGAGGGCCCTGCCACTGGTTCTGACAGGGCCCCCTCGTCAGGCCGGCTCCTCTTGTTTGCCCCCACTCGTTCCAAGAACGGGGAGGCCGATCTAATGGGCCTCTCCGCATGAGCTGGGGCCATAAAGATTGGGGCGTCGACGGCTCCCAAGCGAGCTTTCACCTCCGCGAGCTCTCTGCTAAGGTTGAGCGTCTGCTCAACCTGCTTCGCCAGCTGCTCGTCGCGGAGGCGTAGCTGACGCCTCAGCTCAGCCACCTCGTCCGCTGCGTTGTCCAGCGCTCCCCTCTTGGCCATCTCGACGTTGATGGCCCTGATGCGCCGGGCGGCTACTCGAAGGGACCTTTGGCACGTGCCCTTCAGGCCCTTCGAGATGGAGGCGACCCTCTCCACGTCGTCCGTGAGTTCTAGGGACTGGGCCGCCAGCGCGGCCATCGGCTCGTAGCGGAGCTCCCTCTCCAGCTCCTCCTGCTCTGGCAGAGGGATGCTGCTCTTGCTTGAAGGGCGGGGCGGAAGGGAGCGGTCCAGAGATCGCTCCTCAGCGTGCAGCTCCAACTCCTTGCGCTTCGCCTCCACCAGCCGCTCCTTGGCCTTAGCCAGGCCGACGTACTCGCCGGTGGTAGGCGGTCTTCCCCTCCTGGTTGTGGGCCTGTCGAGCGAGACGACGGATGCGGATGCGATAGACTCATCAGAGTCATCCCCGCTTTCGCAGGCAGGAGTTCCCCTCCCCGATACCGAGGAACACCTACTCCCACGGGAGGTGGATCCTCCCCTTCTCGCCCTCTGGGGGCGGGGGGCAACAAAAAGATTGTTGTTGCCCTCCGTGCTCGTATACACGTCCATCGCTGTGTCCGTGTCCATGGTCAGAGTCCTTGCACTTGCCGTTACCGTCGCCAGTTCATCCCGTCCGTATATGTTTGGTTTTTGTTTTTGAGTTTCATCCATACTTGGTCCCACGAGTGGGTCGGTCCGTGGGTCCACCCGGGCAGAGCCGCCTTACCCGGGTAAGGCTGATACACCCGGGGGGTCGCCAGGTACCCCGGGGTTGGCCGCTACCGACTGATGCACCCATCAGCCACCCCTGGCGCTAACTCCAGGGGCACCCTCCTCACCGCGCACCGCAGCTTGGGGCTAGGGATTTTTTATAGAGGTTGTCATCCTCACGGGCCGGTCAATGAAGACGAGCCCCCCGTTCCAGCGAAACGTGACCACTGGTTTACGGTATAATTGCTAGGGCACTCCGGGTTCGCTACCCGCACCAGACCGCCACGCAGCCTGGCCCCTGGAGAACTCAACGACGCAGCCGCCACCTTTTCGCCTCTCCGACCCAGGCCTTGCCGGCAAGGGAGGCCCTGCCAGGATCCGAAGATCCCACCGGCATCGCCCCGGGTCATCTGCGAGGCTACTCCGACAGCAGCAAGCGCCCCCCTTTTAGTCGCCTCCTACGACAGGCAGGGGTTACCGTGCCTGTATTCTATCCCCCAGTCACAGGGGAGGTTTTTGATGGGTTTTTCCTTCCCTTGGTGTTTGGTCCGCGGGAGCTATTTTATTTCACTCCTACCCTCCATGCACTCCGAAAAGTGCATGGCGAGCATTCCCCTATCCGCCACCTGGGGACGCGCCACGTCGGGGTATCACCTCCCCGCCCAGCCAGTACACTTGGCCAGGTCCGTGGAACCTTTTTTTTTTTTTTTTTTTTTTTTTTTTTTTTTTTTTTTATCGTGGGGAAATCTTCGACAAGACGCCCCGCCCCCCCTGGGGGGAGGTGACGGGGTAGTGCCGGATTTCTACCGGCTAAAACCCCACGGCGACCTCCTCGGGCGTTGTGGAGAGGCTCCGGGACCTGAGTGATATTTCTCCGGAGCCTCCCCCGCCTCGCGCCGAAGCGCCCGTCTCGGAGGGGAGTCGAAAGGACTCCCCTCTGCCGACACCGGGGGTCGCACCCGATGTCGGCTCCATCTCGGGGGACTGCGTGCAATGACGCCTGGGCCCCCAGCCCAGGACACCTGCAGTCCCCGCGCCTCGATCTCCCTACGCGGACTGCGAAGAGGAACGAGGAACGACCCCCCGCCCACCCCGCGCGGTAGACCGGGCGCTGACCGCGCCTCGCCAGCTTCCGGTGCCGGCTTCACCACGGGTCCGCGTGCAATGACGCCCCAGCGGGGCGCCTGCGGCCCGCCGAGTCGTCCCCCTGAGGGCTGCGGTGGGCTGTGGTCAGCCACCCTACAGAGGGACTCCTCGGCTTCACTTCGTCCCTCCCCCACAGTGTGGGAGGGCGGCAACTCCCTTTGTGGGAGGGACACCCCACTCTCCGCCCGGAGTCACCCGGCCCCCCAGAGACAGGCGGAGAGGGCCCCCGATTGGTAACGGGTTCCCTCCCCGCCCGCCCCCAGGTCCGACCGGGGTCCGGGCTCGTTTCGTCCAGGGCGGGAGGGTCACCACGACCCCTCCCACCCCCCCCTTCACCAGTCCCCTACCCGCATCCGTCGCGCCGGGGGGGCAACGGCGATCGGCGCCGTCAACCCCCCCGGATCCCTTAGGGCGGCGGGTCCCGCCGGCGCCGCGGTTGGCGCCGGCCTCTTCTCCGAGCGGGATCGCTCCTTTCGCGATCCCGCTCGGCCCTCTCCTTCAGGGCGATGACCTCCTCGCAATAGGAGATCACCGCCCTCCACCTCGTCTCGCCGGCGAGCATCTGTCTTACGACGCTCGCCGGCGAGAGGTCTTGCCCCACCTCCACACGCAGGGCGTGGCGGGCCAACTCAAACACAGGGCACACCTCGAGGGTGTGCTGTGCGGTGTCCCGCCCCGCCCCGCAGTGCCAACACTTCGGTGTTGGCTCCCTCCCGATCCGGCACAGGTACTCCCCGAAACACCCATGTCCGGAGAGCACCTGTGTGGCCCGGAATGTCAGGGCGCCAAAGCCGCGATCCCGCCACTCTGACAGCACCGGCAGGACCGCCCCGACGGTGCGGTTTCCGGCGGCCACCCCCTGAAGGGAGATGCGCCACCTTTCCACCGCGACCAGTCGGGCCCGGCCCCGATACTCCTCGACCGTAGGCCCCGGCGGGTCCTCCCCGGCCTGACGGAGGGCTCTCGAGTACCAGTAGGTACTGGCCTCGACCCCCGCCAGGTACCGGAAAGGTACGAAACCCGCCAGGACCATCGCCGCCGCGTAGGAAATCGTGCGGTATCCCCGCACGACCCTGACGGCGAGCCGGCGCTCCACCTGCTGCAAAACATTGCAGCTGCGCCTGCTCGCCGCCAGATCGCCGGCCCATATCGGTGCCCCGTACAGGGCTACGGACCGGACGATTCCCGCGTAGAGGCGGCGAACCCTCACACCCGGCCCCCCGAGGTTGGGTAAAAGGCGGCCAAGAGCGGCCGCCACCCTATCCAATCGGGGAGCCAGACGGTCGAAGTGCGTATCGAACCGCCAGTGGCTATCGAGATACAGACCGAGGTATCGGAGACCTCGGCCGATCTCGATCCGGCACCCTCCTACCCCGAGCCAGAGCCCGGTCGGAGGGGCTACCCCACGTCGAGGCTCGAAGAACCACATAGCCTCGGTCTTGTGGGGAGCCAGCTCCAGACCCAACTCCCGGATCGCGTCATGGACGCGTGCCACCGCATCCTCGGCACGGCGGCTGGTCCGCTCCCAGTCCCGCCCGGTGGCCAGAATGAAATAATCATCTGCGAAGATAGTTGACCACACCCCGGGCGGGAGATCCACCTCCTGGGTCGGGTTGTATCCCAGGTTCCATAGGGGAGGACCCATTTTGGAACCCTGGGGCACCCCGCGGTCCACTTCCCTCCAATGCACTGTACCGTCCCGGCCCACGTAGCAAATCCACCTGCCGTCCAGGAAGGCCCCGATTATCCCCCGCAGATACGGGGGGACGTTGTGACGAACCAACGCCCCCCGTATCGCCCCATGGGGCAGGGTGTTGAACGCATTGGTCACATCCAACGAGACGCCAAGCGCCACCCCGCCCCGGGACGTGGCCCACTCCGCGAGGGTGCGCACCCGCTGAATGGCGTCGATGGTGCTGCGACCCTCGCGAAACCCGAACTGGGTGTCGGCCAGATCGGGACCCACGCTCGACAGGTGGTGGGCGAGGCGTTCGGCAATAATATGCTCGAAGAGCTTGCCCACCTCGTCCAACAGCACGATGGGCCGGTACGCGGAGGGGGAGTCCGCGGGCCGACCTTCTTTGCGAAGCAGAACCAGCCGCCCCTCCTTCCACAACGCGGGAAAAACTCCCCGTTCCAACGCGGCGCTAAAGAGGCGGATCAACCTCGGACCCAGGACCCCCGACGCGATGACCCAGGCACGGCCGGGTATACCATCAGGGCCCGGAGCGGTGTTTTTCGCCCCGAGCTTCTTGATGGCCCCGGCGAGTTCCCCCTCGGTGACCTCCAAATCGGCGGACCAGGCGACTGGCTCCGCCGGCTGCTCGCGCGGGCGTGGCTCCTCCTCCGATCGGGGAAAGAGGGTGTCCACCACCCGCCCGAGCAATTCGGGGTCCAGGCTCTCCGACACCGGGGGCGCCCATGGGCGAAGCTTGCCCATCACCATGCGGTACGGACGCCCCCAGGGATCCTTGTCGAGAGAGCCCTGGAGCTCCTTCCGTGCCCGGGACTTCGCGTCCCTGATGGCCTGCCTCAGGGCCGCTACGAAGACCCGGTACGTGCCCCTCAGCAATTCCTCCCTCGCCGGGTCGCGGACCCGTACCCTTCGGGCGCGCTGCCACTGGCGCCGGGCGTGCTGACATTCGGACCGAATGTCCTCAATGTCGCCCGACCACCAGTACACCGCCCTCCGGGGGGGCAGACGAGAGGCCCGGGGCATGGCGGTGTCGCAGATTGCGGTCATCGCCCCCCGGAACCACTCAGCCTCCCCCTCAATGTCCGCGACAGGCCCGGCCGGAAGAGGTGGCCAGGCCACGACGAGGGCCGCTGCCATCAGCAGGTCCTTGTCCATCCGCCTCAGCACCCAGCGACGCGGTGGTGCGCCACGCGTCGGGCGGCAGGAGGTGGGGAGAGAGACGCTGAACCGGATATACCGGTGGTCACTCAACGTCTCCCTCATCGCCACTCTCCAACCCCGCACCCTGCGCCCGATCCCAGGGGACGCCCAACTTAAATCCACAATGGACTCCCCCTGGGCCCGAACGCAGGTGCTGGCGGAGCCCCTGTTCAGAAGCAGGAGCCCCACGCTTGCCGCCCAATCGAGCACCGCCCTGCCCCTCACGTCGGTCCTCGGGGACCCCCAGGCTTCGGCTTTGGAGTTAAAGTCCCCGAGGACCAGTGCCTGCCGGGCGGGGAAGCTGGAGATGAAGCTCCCCACCCGGTCTAGGCACTCCTCGAACTCGAGGCGGGTCCAGCTAGGCGGTGCGTAAACGCCCACCACCGCGACGCCCCCCCAGTCGACCCCGACGAACCCCCGCCCCCTCACCAGTACGTCGGCGGGCGGGGGAAACCGCGTCCCTCCCAGGACGATGGCGACGGAGCCCCCCTCGTCCGCGAACCAGTCATGCCGGTCCGGGACTCGGTGCGGCTCCGCCACCACCGCGACCTCGATCTTCCACTCGGCCAGGGTTTGGACCAGAAGGTCCTGTGCCCCGACCGAGTGGTTGACATTTGCCTGCAGGAATGGACCCCTAGGCCCCATTGGAGGTGTCCATTCCTGCGGCCTCCACCGCTGCTCCCTCGTTGCTGGGGCCCGCTGCCCCAGTCGACGAAGCAGCCGACTGCTTCGTGCCCGTCCTCGCCGTCGGCGCCTTCACCGCCGCGCGCTTCTTCCCCCCTTTGTTGGAGGAGACCGAGGGGCATCCCCTGGCCCCCATCCTGTGCCCCGCGGGCCGCCCTGAATCAGTACACAGGGGGCACCGCGGAGGGGCCGTGCAGGCGCTGGCCCGATGGTTAGGATCGCCGCAATTAAAGCAGCGATCCGACCGATCGACCCCGCAGGGGCACCGCTGCCTGACATGACCCGTCTCCAGGCAGCGGTAACACTGCAGGGGGCGAGCCGCCAGCGCCTCGACCCGTGGAGGTCCGTGGAACCTTTTTTTTTTTTTTTTTTTTTTATCGTGGGGAAATCTTCGACAAGACGCCCCGCCCCCCCTGGGGGG